GCTTAACTGAGCTCCTTATTTTTATTACCCATTGTCTGCTAACCAGTTTTCTGTCATTTCATTTCTCTGCCTTCTCCCTGGGGATCAAGGATGGCAGCTCGTCGCGCGCTGAAAGCTGTCCTGGTGGATCTCAGTGGCACGCTGCACGTTGAAGACTCGGCCGTGCCGGGTGCGCAGGAAGCTCTTAAAAGGCAAGTTGCCTCTTTCTGTTCTGTCTGATAGGTCGTGCCAGGACTGCTTGCACAAAGATGCTTCTTGAAACAGTCTGAAGGTCTTGCCTTCCCCTTCCCAAAAAATGGTGTCTAAAGAAATGATGGCATAGTGAATCAATTTCACGTGGCTTAGATGAGGGCAGAGCAGGCTGTGCAACCCCAGGAGTCTTTCTGTTGTTGTTCTGACACCATTTCCGTGGAGATTTCATCTTGCAAAGGCTGAAGAAAAACAACAGGAAGTGGTGAATGAGCAGTAGGAAGAGTAAGAAAGGAAGAATGGGTAGGGTTGAATTAAGCATGGAAAGTTTTTACTGGAGTTTTATCGACTGCTTTAAGCTTTTGCAAAGCTGGACCATCATTTGGTTGGAAATCTCACAGAGGGACTAGGACACTGCAGTTCTTTCCACAAATAATTGTGTGTCAGTCATTATTTTTTGAAGATGTAGAATGGTAAGGAACTATACATGACCGAAGTGTTGGATATCCATTCGCTACTCAGTGCATCTTGTTAATCCATGCCATTGTCCTCCCTAAAGAGACGACAAAATGAAAGTCCTGCAACTTGATTGGGAAATAAATGCTGAGATTCCATTTTTAGGGTTAGCTTTCAGTATTGAGGTTAAAGGTTTTTTTTTTAAAAAAAAAATTAACAAACAGTTTTGTTTATTTGTTTTTTGCTGGTTCACACTTGTGAAAGGTCAGTACATTTTTTTTTCTGTGCAGCAGAATGAATGAGAGAGAAGTGGCAGGTGCAAGCAAGACTTCCAGATTGACCAACTTTATATTGATGTACTCCATACAATCCTGATACCAGCATTTGTTTCTATAGTAACGAACAGAAGATGGCGATGATAGGGGAATAATTAAAGGAGATGCCATTGAAATTGTCTCCTAAAATGGTTTGGCTGTTCAGTAACATGCAGGGCAGTCTGTAAACAAAGTGTTCTGCAGCGTTGAGACTTCGCTTTTCATCCGTCAGGCTGCGTGGCGCTCCGGTTACAATTCGGTTCGTGACCAACACCACCAAAGAGTGCAAGAAGGACCTGCTGGAGAGGCTGACCAAACTGGGCTTTGACATTGCAGAACATGAAATCTTCACGTCTCTGACGGCAGCCAGAAATCTTCTGGAGCAGAAGCAGGTGCGGCCGCTCCTCTTGGTGGATGAGAAGGCCCTGCCTGATTTCACAGGTGAGGTGGGCAGAGAGCAGCACGGGAGGAGGTGTTGAACCACTGTGTGTCTTCATGGCTCTCTCCTCTTGACACCCTTCCACAGCTCCAAGTGGCAGTCAGAATCTTCAAGTAGGCAGGAATTCAGATAGAACTTTACACATGTTATTAATTCACAGTGTAGAAAGTAATGTTTATCACCGGATTGTTGGAGATTTATTGTACCTACCAGTATCCAGGGGCCCCCAGCACAAGAAGGATGCAGAGCTGTTCCAACAGGTCTAGAGGAGGGCATGAGGATTCTCAGAGGCCTGGAGCACCTCTCCTATGAAGATAGGCTGAGGGAGCTGGGCTTGTTCAGCCTAGAGGAGAAGGCTGCATGGAGACCTCATGGAGAACTCTGCAAATATGAAAGCTGTGAAATCTAGTCATTTGTTCCATCTGACATCACATCCAGAGAAATACAGTCCCAGCAATGTTTTGTGTTCTCAGTAAGGCTTTTTTCTGGGGGGGGTGGGGGGGGTGGTTAGAAACAGCTGAAACAGCAGCTGAGTTCACTGAAGTTAAATCAGTTTAATCTTAACATATCTGGGATCTTTCCATCAATTTTACAGTAGTTGTTGCTAATTCTCTGTCAAATGACAAAGAATACAGAATACAGTGGCAACAGTTTATGCACTGCTTGATTTGGGTATGAGTTGTTTGGTTTCTTTGTTCTGCAGGCTTACACTCAGTGCTGCTCTTGAAACTTTGAAGTACACTGGAGAATATTTTAAATTCCTGTTAGTGACTGCTATTGAATTATTCTTAGATAATCTCTCAGTAAAGTTGGTCACAGATGGATGAATGTAATCCATTCTTGGTTAATGGACCCAGATGCTTTCGGGTGGTGTCACAAATCCACGTGGCATCTCTGCATGCTGTGCTTTACTGTCTGAGCTCACTGCAGGATGTGTGCAGGAAACAGCTCTGATTGTACTCTCTGGAGACCCAGGAGCTTGAGCTGTCACTGTGAAAGTGCAGAGAATATTCCGTGTATAGATCCACACCTTTTCTACAAAGCTTTTCTTCACTTCTAAAATACATAAAGCCAGTCTACAAGACACATATGTGACAGAAAATGCTAAATTTTGCTGCAAAGTGATCAATTTCACTTGTTGCATTTGCTGACTGTCTATTGCTAAGTACAAACAAAATTCAGCTCATTCAAAATGATCACTGTCGTGTTCTGATTTTCCAGGGATCGCCACTGATGACCCCAATGCAGTGGTCATAGGACTGGCTCCTGAACACTTTCACTATGACATGATGAATAAAGCTTTTCGGTAAGTCGGCCACTTCTTGTGGTTGTCTTGTGCTTTTCCTACAGTGGTTCCTTGCTTGTTCCTACAATGCCAGAAAATATTCCCATATCACCACTACGTAGTGAGGATGATGTTAACTTTTATGGGTTTGCACCCTTAACCATTAGCTTCCACTTGAAGAGGCTGGGATGCGAGTCCCTTGCTGCATCTAGCCCTCATTTCCCATTCACAGGGAAGTTGGCAGAGGAACTTCTGCAGGTGTCAGCTTTGTTTGGTTTGAAGGAGTATCAGTGCCTGGCAGCATCCTACTTTTCTTCAGCCTGGTGTCAGGACCACATGCCTCGTCCTGTACTGCTCAGATAATTCAGTCACTGACTGTGAAGAGCCCAGTATGACTGGGCTAGTAGGCAGCTGCTGGGTTGAAGTCTATCATGAGGCTGGCTAAATCCAACCTGGCGTGAGTCCCAAAACAAAATACGTAGCGTAAGTCCCTTCTCTAGGCACCATTTGAAATGACTGATAACTAAATTTCTTTTCTCATATACATGGGATTTTGATGCCATTTAAAAGAATCCTCTCAGGCAAGATCCTTCGTGTAAACTGCTGAATGCAAGTGGTTGTAGTGCCACTGTCAGATTAAATCCTTCTGTGTCCTGGAGGCATCCTCCCATTGAACATAGCTGGCTGCTCTCAGATACATGTGCCAACTCTCTTCTGACAGCTTGCTTTGGAATGCATTGATCCAATAGAAATATTTTGTGATAATTAAATGAGGAGCTCACTGACATCAGAGAAGTTATGGTCATTTCTTAATTACTTCTCTTCCATTTCTCCACTCACTGCAGGCAGTCCCATGTTCCATGCAGGTTTTTAACAGTTTGGCCAGCTGGGAGATGCACATGAGAACCCTTTTATGGTACACAGAACTGTTGGGAATCCAGTGACCAGTTGCTTGCAGCTGTTTTCCACATGGGATTTTTGTCTATGGGAAGAAACCCAAATCCACCTCTGTTTCTGAAGCATACTTAACTGGGGAATCCAGTGGAACACAAATGTGCCTCATATCTTTGTGCCTTTTCAATACGGAAATAGAAAATCAATGCAAAATGATCCATTTCCTACCTGAGATTCACAGGAACACCCATCTCTGCTGAAATTTTACTTAATTCTCTAAATAAATGCTAGCTTGCTATGATTCCATGATTCTAAATGCCATTGGAAGACCTATTTGGGTCCCCATGAAAGTTAGTGGGTGTTTTGTCATCAACTTAAAGGACTCAGAACTTCAGCTGTAAATATCTTTACTTTTTGTATTTTCCTCTTCATCCTTCAGGTTGATTTTGGATGGTGCTCCTCTTATAGCTATACATAAAGCCAGGTATTTCAAGAAAAAAAACGGCTTGGCTCTGGGACCTGGACCTTTTGTAGCTGGACTGGAATATGCCACAGACATCAAAGCAACAGTGGTGGGAAAGCCAGAGAAAACGTTCTTCCTGGAAGCTTTACGAGGGACTAGCTGTGCCCCAGAGGAGGCTGTCATGATTGGTGATGTACGTGGGGACCCTACCACCTGCCTGCTAGTGCAGTGCTCAGCTCCAGTGTACAGAGGGGCTCCCTAGCCTTGTTGAGAAACTGTGTCCCTGCCCACAACCTAACTGTTCTCTTCCATCCCAGGACTGCAGGGATGATGTTGGTGGGGCCCAGAATGCAGGCATGCGTGGGATTTTGGTCAGGACTGGTAAGTACGTGATGAATTGAGTGGTGAGTCCCATCATCTTGTCCTGGGTACTGGCAGCTCACGTGCCCGAAACAAAGCTGTGCACTGAGCCTCCGGAACCTAGAGAATTGGTGTTGTAACATTTTGATTGTCAAAATCAGTTGTATCACTGTAACCTCTGTTCATTCAGGACTTTGATGGCATTCCACATAGTAATTATGCTGGCAGTTATATATGGCAATTCCTTCAGACAGAAGGAATTACCAGCATTACTGATACTGTGATAGATCCATGGGCTAGGGAAGGTCTTTCTCTTGTAGTGAAAAACTGGGAGATGTTGTTGCAGGACAGCAGATCTGCATTCCTGTTGTCATGTGTGACTGTTGCTGATCACAGAAGGCTGCAATTTTTAGAGGAAAAAAAAGAAATCCAAAGGAGTAAGTGCACCTTTTTGTTCATTTCTTCTAGGTAAATATCGACCAGCGGATGAAAACAAAATCAATCCAGCCCCTTACTTAACGTGTGAGAGTTTCCCAGAGGCAGTAGAACATATCCTAGAGCATCTGCTATGAGAAGTTGGATAGTTTGAAGAAACACCTGGTTCACATAATTTACTCTTGCTTCCAAAATTAAGGTCACAGGATCAGTGCATGCTCATCAGAAACCTAGCCATAAGCTCCTTCCCATCAAGGTGTGAAAGGAAGAGTAGTGGTGCATGGCCCCATTGTGGTCACAACTCAGCTCTTTTCCTGCACTCATTTCTTGAGGCAGTGATTAGGGACCTCGGATGATCGGCAGGACAGGTAGCACAGGAAGGCTACAGCACAACTGCTTTCCTGAAGGGTGCATGGAACGTGGTACAGAGTTCTGTTTTCAGTTTTCATGAAATAGCTGATGGAAAGCCCACTCTGAAAAGTGTTAAGAATAAACTAAACTGGAAAACTCACTGGAAGCACTCCAGTAAACTGTAAAAGCCTAACAACACATTAGTCAGTCTGCAGTGATCTCTCTGTTCTAATTTCAAGGCAGAGATAAGAGCCTCTAGAAGTGACTTCTATATTAAAGTAGTGCCATTGTTAATAATAACTACTGTTAGCATCTTTACTCTTGTTGGACCAGATCCTGGTTTTTGTTTTTCAGATTTTGCATAAAATTAAAAGTGTTAGCAGTGTACAGATGTTTTAATTAGATGCTGTTATTAAAAAGAATGGTACTCAAACAAAAATCTGATATTAAATGCCTTAGACTTTGAATTTTTAAAGTAAGTTAGACTTCAGCAGGGTCCTATTAACGCTACAGTTCCAAAATGTCACTACTGTCTTTTGTTTCTTTTTAATGTTATGGGAAAAACCCTTTGTGAGCCGTGGGGACATATTCAAGTTTTTACACAGTTGGTTAGTAGAGCTGTAAAATGAAATTTAATTCTGTCGTGTGCGTTGCTTCTCCTCTGTGTTAAACACACCAATATGAACCAACTCTGTAATGATGGGAAATAGCTTTTCTGGTCCATTTGCAAACTGTAATAATCAAAGTCCTTTACAGTTGTTTTATAGTGCTCCTGAGTCTTAAATTACTAGATTGTAATTATACAGTACTGAAGTATTAAGCTTATTGAAAATATAGGTTTGTGTTAATGAGCCATGCTCATTCTTTGTTAACAAAAAATCATTGTGATGAATGAATGGGAAGCTTGCCTTAAATGAAAGATAGTCTGGCTGCAGCCAGGTGGTGGGTTACTTACAGTTAGGTTAACCTACAGCTGTGAATAAATTCAAACATCCGCTGTTCTGCCAGCACTTCTGAATCTGTGTCGTTTGTTGGTGGAGTGCATACAGGAGGTTTGTGGACTGCAGTCCAAGTCAGGTCAGGGAGGTGAGAGATCTCTTAAGTAAAATCCTGGGAAGAAATTTCTCTCATGATTATGCTAGATTATATTGCTTTTCTACCACGACTCCAAATTGTTTCTAATCCTTTGCCCTTTCCACCTTGGAAATAACCCAAACAACCAGTAAGTAATAGGTACGGCTTCGATTTCATACGAAAATAACAACGGTGCCTGGTACATTTGGTTGGTTTAAGCTCAATTTCATTGAAAGCAATCACTTACTTAGGCTTGGTTAAAAAGGCACACAGGTCTCTGCAGAGCTGTGGTGATTGTGATGTTTTAGTGAGTCTCAGAAAGGAGGGTTACCCTCATCACCTGCTCCGGTTCTTGGACTCCAAACCTGTAAACAGCTACTGAGAATAAGGACTGAAAAGCAATCCATCTTTAGATCTTTATACTTGAAGTTAAGGCTGGAGTTTTCATATCCTTTGACATTTCCTATTGGTTTCTCTTCTCCTAGAAACTCAACACTCCCTTCTCCATCACCACTCAGTCCTTTGGAGGTAACATTTTGGATATTTTGGATAGTGAAAGTCCTTGAAGTACTCAGTCTTTGGGGATTTTTCTTCTCAGACTGATTCAAACTCTCTCTGCCAAGCTGTGTACTTCTGGCTGAGTTTCTTTGCTGAAGGTTTGGTGTGGGTGATCACATCCAGGAAATCTGCTGTTGTGATCATGTCCAAGCGGATTGTAGCTAAGTTACTGTTACCTGCAGAAAATAGAGCCAACATGGTTTTCAGTACCAAGAGACACTCTTTTATGATCCTGCCTTGTTTACCAAGAAACAGTGAGATAACAGTGAGAACTTAGAGAGATAAAGAAAAATTCATATGTATGCAAAGAGCATGGATATTGACAAAAAACAGGCTCAATTTCAGATGTGGTTGGGTAGATGTTTTAGGAAGATACAGGTTAGAACTTTTCTAAGCAGATGACAGAGCTCCACCTGCTGGAGTTTAGAATTTCCAGACTTGGAGCAGTAGCTCAGCATTTCCCAGATCCCATTCTCCAACTGGAGCTGTGTACCTGGTTGATGGTTTTCAAGGGCATCGAAAATTTTCCTCACTGGTCTCATGGCTGCTTCCTTGCACACAAGTTTGATGTCTGAGCCAGAGTACCCATCGGTTTCCTACAACAGAACGATACATTACAGCTTACAGGCTTACAAATCAGAAAGCAATGGCATTTAGAAGCATCAAGTCATAGAATGTTTTGTGCTGGGACCACACAGATCAGCGAGTCCAACTCCTTGCACCTCCAAGGTGCAAGGAAAATAATGAAAATTTTCTTCCTAATTTTCTGTAGGTAAACTAAAACTCACCTTTCTGTGTCCTCATCTTCCCTGTTAATAAAATATTTCTTCCCTTCTTCCTTTATGAAACAAAATAGGGAACTTTCACTAAACAAAAGTAAAAATGGTCAGATTGGACAAGCTGTAGGTATTTCCAAAGAATTTAGGAAGTGATAAGGGGCTGAATAAAGCAAGCCCAGTTTCCTTGTCGGTCTCATCCCTGTCTGAGTGCTCTTTTCTCCTGCAGCAGTGAAGCTGGCGCAAACCTTCCCTATGCAATTAACTGTTCATTACCCCAATAGATTGGAAGTGCTCCCAGCTTGGTGAGCTGGGACCTTGAGTGCTTGCTGCATTGCTGCCTCACCCGGCCCAGCAAGCTGTAGTCCAGGTCGGTTCTCAGCTCCACTCCTCCACCATTGCTCAGAGGTGGCAGCCAGTGCTGGATCATTGCCCGCCGTGCCTCTTGATTTGGGAGGTCGACCAAAATCCTCTTCTCCAGCCGCCGCAGCATGGCAGAGTCCAACTCCCTGCAAGCAGAGAATAGGAATCACCTCAGTGCGTTGTTGTGTCAACGAGCCAAAATTCTAATGGAATTTCGAGTATTCAAAGGAATACCCTTCATTTTCACTTCCTTGTGATGAATCGATGAAGCCTGAAAGAAACAAGTTTGATTCTTTCTGTTCCTTTCTCAAAGCTTCCATGACAAATTTCTTCTTTCAAACTAAAGACTACACTGATTCCTTGAGTGAAACCCTTTTTCCAGCAAAGTCTACATACAAACACTACTCCAAGAAGGTGCCAGCCCAGATTCTGCAGACCTCAGGATGCCTGGCTCTCACATCAGAGGGATCAGGAGTCCCCTCTGTCCACTGTCACATATTTTTGTTATCTTAAGAGTGAATTTTTCTGTTAGTGATCAAATGTACGGCTTAGTGACAACAACCAGAACAGAATAATAAGCACTACACCAACCCCAAAATTATATGAAGTAACAGCTCAGAGGTTATTAACAAATCCCTGCATAAAGAACCTATACATCTCCTATGGGAGCGGGTGGGTGGCTCTTCAGTGCTCTCCAAGGTTGACATCATAAGGCATCACGCCTTCCTAGCACTGCCATATATCATGGAGATAGACAAGATAAACACCAATTTTCATTTCCAGTTTGTTTCTATGGACAAGTTTTTTGTCCATAGAAAGTGCCATGCTGACGAGCAGTGGGAAGCAAGGGTGGGCAGCAAACACAGGCTGAAGGGGAAGATCAATAGCGGCAGTGCAGCTTAGGACAGCGTAAAGAGCTTTGTTTAGGCTTCTTTTCATTCATCTAAAAGCAGCTTGGTACTATCTTTTTTTTTATAATCAATAAATATCCAAGCTATACAAATCTCTTGGAATCCAACTTAATACCGAATGTTTGCAAGAACGCAGAGCTCTGCAGGGAAGCCACAACCTCTGTGCTATCATACCAAGGGTGTTTTGAAACTTTGCTATAAAATACCCCTACACAGCTCAAGACTTTTTCCAAGAAGAGTGGAGATTTGACACTTGGGGACGCTGTTATTGGCCACAGCGTGGATGGGTTGTGGTTGGACTTGGTGATTGCAGTGCCGTTTTCTAGCCTTAATGGCTATATGGTTCTAAGACTGCTGGTAGCCTAATACACACAAAAATCATCTGTAAACAGTTAGGTGAGATCTTTGAAGGAGGTTCAAATCCCACTGACCTATCTGGAAGGAAAAATTTCCATATTAATCAAGGCTAGGAGCTTCACTGTTGGTGTAAGATGCTCATGGTTCTCACTACGTTTCCATCTTCCTAAAATACTCCTCTAAGTGTACACTCAGAGATCCACCACCAGCCTCGTGGTGACCTTCACTGCTCAGTTTCTCCTTCTGAAAGGGTAACGATGTTACAGTAACAAACATTTCTAATGTTCTACTAATGAACCACACAGGAGATGAACAGGTTCTTGATGTGTTATTTAAATTTAACTGTTCACACTGTAGCTACTTATTTTTCAGCATTTTTATACCCAACTAGAACATAATTAAATCAGTCTGCTCAATTCCTTTCATGTAGATCCCTACAGACAAAATGGGGTGGATTTTGTACTGATTTAAATTCATGAGATTGTCTTAACATAAACCCCCAAATTCACACGCGTACTCTGCTATTATGGCTATAAAAGCCATTGATGGTTTTGTACTCACACTATTGGGCCAAGCTAGGAGCCAGGCTTGTTTGTACGTCTAACATCCACATAAATTTTCAGTGCTTACAGTCATTCTCCTAGTTAAAGAGCCTGTGAGCCCCAAGCAGACATTAAGTCAGGTTTTGAGCATGTCCATGCAGCAGAGAAACAGAGCATCTATTTCTCTGTTGACAGTCTCACAGCACGGGAAACCTACCTTCTACTTAGATGCAAAAATTACATTTTATGAACACAGAGAGGATTTTCCCATATATGTCCTTATGGCACCCTTGTAAGAACCAGCCAGAAAAGCATTAATCATAAAAACCTTCCGGGTTGTTACCCAGAAATGAAGCAAAAATGAAGCAAATCCAGATGAGTGCCAGACCTATGAAAGCCAACTTCAAAAGCAAGCTAATTGATGTGCTTCAATTCCCTGCATAGGTGTTAACATCTTCTACTTTGAAAAAAGCTTTATGAGCTACAAATCCATCCACTGAAAATAGCTACGCTATTTTCAGGGCACTGAAATGATCAGAGGGCTGGAGCAGCTCTCCTATGAGGAAATTGAGGGAACTGGGCTTGTTCAGCTTGGAGAAGAGAAGGCTCCATGGAGACCTCATTGTGGCCTTCCAGCAATTGAAGGGAGCGTATAAACAGGAGGGGGAACGGCTGTTTGTGAGGGTGGATGGTGATAAGACAAGGGGGAATGGTCTTAAACTGAGACAGGGGAGGTTCAGGTTAGATATTAGGAGGAAGTTTTTCACTCACAGGGTGGTGAGGCACTGGAACAGGTTGCCCAAGGAGGCTGTGGATGCCCCATCTCTGGAGGCATTCAAGGCCAGGCTGGATGTGGCTCTGGGCAGCCTGGGCTGCTGGTTGGCGATGCTGCACACAGCAGGGGGTTGGATGATCATTGTGATCTTTTTCAACCCTGGCCATTCTATGGTTCTATGATTCTATTCCCAATTATGTTAAAGAAACCAAAGAATTTTGTCCTTCAACTTATAAAAGTCCCAGTTGTCACCAATAAAATCCAACTTCCTATTTATGGAGTATCCTTCTAAGCACTAGATGTTTTAAGCACCTTACAGTTCCAAGCTGAAACCCTTCTTAGCTTAAACATAGTAAATAACTTGCCTCTAAAGTCAAATACTCCATTTTAAATATTAGCAGCTGGTAGCACTGGCATATGTTGACTTTATTATGGATTATTCTCATATGGCACAAATAGCAAGAATTGTAGAGTTTAAAAGTAAAAGCCCCAAATTAATCTTTAAATGCTTTAACCAAATATCAAGGCTTTTTCTGCAAAAGTCTAAATAAAATCTTTATCTGTGCCTAGAAGCTCATGCAAATGTATTCAAAACGTACTCTCTGGATCTCTTACCATGGCAGATTGGAAGCTGCTAAAACAAATACAAGATCATCAGATCTGGCCAAGCCATCCATCTGCACCAGTAATTCTGTTTTCATCCGCCGACTTCCTTCATGTTCACCACTACCAAGATTCAGAGAAACATTATTTGCTCAGTGCATTAAAGTAATCATCTTTATTTATACAGTGTCATTCACAGCAACTGAGCCCTCGTCCCCACTTTGCCCCAGTTCCAAGCATGATTAAGCTCCATTAGCTAACATCGAAGTATTAAAATCAAGCTTTCTAATGGTTACTTAAACGCACTGTTTTCAAAGCATTAACGTGAGGAGAACTCACCATTACTGAAACCGAACAAAATGTATACATACATGTTAATCCAGGTAATTGGTTGGATCTTCGGGTCCCAGACATAGAGTAACTCTTGGACGAAATCCAGAGACAAACTCAGAGCTTGAAGATGGCAAGAACTACCACTCAGGCTTAATTACCTCTCCAAAAGCACCCACATATCAGCGTGATGTTAGTACTTAATAGGGTTATGTAAAAACAGCTGTATAATCTTTGACAAAGGTCTTTACTGAAATACATAACTGATTGATGCTAATGAGAGTTTTTAAACAATATGAAAGCAAAATTTGGTCCATCATCTATTAACTGATAATTATTAATACTTGTATCTTTACTATATAGCATATTCAATTTACATATCTTTGTAAGAATACAACTTACAGCGGATGATGTACGTACACCCCACACTCTAATGGGTTCCAAACTGTCAGAACAATATTTTTGTATTTCTCTGCTTCTCCTGCATGTTTGATCTTTTCAATCTGTTTTAAACTATAAATTTTCTATGCCATGGATGACAGTAATAAAATCCTTCTATCCTTGCAAGTCCTGGCAATGTCACCAGAATTAGTCCCTTAACTGAAAATGCCTTTCCACTGTGGACACTGCATCACACTGTGCTCTGCTTCAGCCTGTGCTGAGTGTTATAAACCAGCTGCTTTTTACTTGCATCTCTCAAGACACTTGTTGTTTCCCACAGCTATCTTTAAGAACTTTCCAAATACACCAGCTCTGTTTATGCGTTATTGAACCTCTCTCCTGGTTACAGTCTTTCTAGACGCATGCTTTTCATAGTTCCGTGCTCAGTTCCCTCAACCTTTCCTCATAGGAAAGGTACTCCAGCCCTCTGAGCATCTTCGTGGCTTCCTCCAGATCTGCTCCAACAGCTCCACAATCTTCACGTGCTATGGGCCCCAGGCCTGGATGCAGTACAACAGATGGGGTCACGAGGGCAGAGCAGAGGGGGACAATCAGCACCCTCTCCCTGCTGCCACCCATCTGTTGTTGCAGCTCAGCTACTGCCTTCCTGCTGCAAGTGCACACTGCTTATGTCCAGCGTTTTGTTCGCCAAATGCTTCTCTGCTGGGCTGCTCTCAGGGGTTCTTCTCCCAGTCTGTACACGTATTTGGGATTGCCCCGACCGAAGTGCAGCACCACGCATTTGGCCTTGTTGAGCTTCATTAGGTTTGTTCCCACTGTTCCAGCCTATCCAAGTCCCTTGGGATGACATCCCTTCTTTCTGTGGTGTCCGCTGCACTCCTTAGCTTGGCGCCATCAGCACGCTTGCTGAGATGGAACTCAATCCCACTTTCTATGGTGCTGATATTGATCATGAAGAGCACCAGTCCCTGATGGGCCCCTGGGGGATACCATTGTGAACAGCCTCCATCTGGACACAGAGCCATTGACCACAGCCCTGTGGTTGCAACCATCCAACCAATTCCTTATCCACCAAATAGTCCACCCTCCAAACCCATATCTCTCTAATTTAGAGAGAAGGATGGAATGCGGGACCATGTCAAAGGCCTCATACAAGTCCAGATAGATAACATCAGTTGCCCTTTCTTTGTCCACCAATGCTGTCACTCCATCACTGAAGGCCATCAGATGGGTCAGACAACGCCTTTGGTGAAGCTGTGCTGGCTGTCTCAGATCACCTGCTCATCCCTCAAGTGCCTTAACATGTCCTCCAGGAGGATCTGCTCCATGATCTTCCCAAGCACAGAGGTGAGGCTCGCCACCCTGTAGTTCCTCGAGTCTTCCTTTCTATCTTTCTTAGAAGTGAGAGTGATGTTTTTTTTCCAGTCCTCAGGAACTTCACCTGACAGCCATGCCTTTTCAAACGTGATGGACAGTGGCTTGGAAATCTCATCAACCAGTTCTTTCAGGACCCTGAGATACATGCCATCTGGCTCCATAGACTTGTACATATTCAGCCTCATGAAGTGGTCTTGTACTTGCTCTACTCTTACACTGGCAGAAATTTTACTCCCCTGACTCTCACTTAGAGGTTCAGGAATACAACAGATGTGGGAACCTTGATAGACAGTGAAGACTGAAGCAAAGAACTTGTTGAGTACCTCAGTCTTCTTAATGTCTGTTGGAGCCAGTGCACTCTTCTCATTTATCAGAGGAAGTATGCTCTCTATGGCCTGTCTCTTCTGACCAAAGTATCTATAGAACCTCTTCTTGTTATTTTTCATGTCCCTTGCCATGTTCCATTCCACCTGCACCTTGCTTTCCTCATCCTATCTCCTTATGTCTGGACAGCATCCTTGTATTCACCCAAGGTCACTACATTCCACTACTTATAATTTTCCTTCTTTTCCCTCAGTCCGACTAGCAGGTCCTTGCTCAGCCATGCCACCTCCCTTTCTCCTCTGCCTGATTTCTTACACTGTGGGGTGGTGAGCTCTTGTGTTCCCCAAAAGGTATTCTTGAAGAGAGCTCTGTTACTCAGAAGTAGCTCTTCACAATCTCTAAATTCCTTAACACTAGTGGAGAGCAACTTCCTCATCCCTCCCGCCTTGCCTATCCCTTGTATAAAGCTTGTAACATTCAACTGTAATATCCCATCATGTTTCTGTAACAGCAATTAGGCCATAGTTTTCTAATTGCACTGTGGTTTCCATCTCCCCTTGCTTATTTTCCATGCTATGTGTGCTATTGAAAGGATGCATTGAAAAGGGGTACAAATACTCTCCTAAATCTACTAGAAGTGCTCTTCTTAGTTACCCAGAGATGGTGCCTCTTTGGCTCATCACAGACTCCAGTTCATCCAAGAAAATTGTGGAAGGAGCATGGTAGCGGGCAAGCTCAAACAGCACCTGTTTAGAGAGAAAAGAGGCAGAAGAAATAAAGAAAAGTAAATTAAAAAAAGCATCAAGAGACTCTGGTACAGAAGATCAATAATGGAGCCCAGACACCAAGCTTGTAGGGCAAAAGAAGGTATGTGCTCTGGGTAGGCTGAGGGTCCCTGAATCCTCTCAAATTCTGAAAGGTTTGTAAAGGAGATATAAAGAACACAGGATGTAATCCTGTCTTTATATGTAAATCTTTCTAGCCAAATCCTATCAGAGTACCCTGAGAATAATGGGATAGAAGAAAATGATCCCTCAGAGGATTCTGGGAACTCCTGCATTGTTATCGGATATTAAATAAACTGTCTTTTACTGGTGCTCCATTTCTAGTTTTTTAAATAAGAATTTGAGGAAAAAAACACCAACAAACCCCACCATAGTGAAAAAAAATGGACTTATTCCCTTGCTGAGAATTATACAGTTATTTTGTTTCTCCTGATGAAACAAACATAAACTGCTTGAACCACCAGGGCTAGATTAAAAAATGGAATACTAAACTGACTGACAAAATCTGGGTCTGTCATTCTGAAAAAAAAAGCTTCACCTATTTTTTCTGGAATCGGGGAGAGATTTACATTAGTAGTAGGAACATATAGACCTTTTTTTTTTTGTGGTGAAATACCACAGATTTAGTGGTATCATTGCAAGTGCTGTATCATATTCACAAAAACCTTCTGGGTGGTGTTGTGTCAAAAAACAGACAGTCCCATCCCTACTCTGACAGGAGGGAAACGAGGGAGCCTTGGAGCTGACCCTTGCAGAAAGGCTGAGAAGCACTTTGAAGGAATCACTAAGTTCAGTTAGCAGTTCTGCTTGGCTATCCTTTATTCAACGAGCCAAAAAATGTTTGCTGGCTTCATTTTGCATTACGAAACAAAATTCCACAGCAAGAATCTATTTTAAATCTTCTGCAGAGGTGATGTTCCCATTTTAAGAACTAGATACAGAATTACGTTTTGTCTGAGACAGAAAGGATTATGAGTATCAGAGGAACACACCCTTACAGTTCTGTTTTAAACTCCAGTTCTTTAAGCAGGAATCTGATGTTTGTGTAATGAAGAAGATAATCATTCTTACCCGGACAAGCTTTTCTGAATCACCTCTCCATTTGCTGACAATGGTGGATGCTGATATGTTGAAAAATGTTGTGTTGCACTCTGTGGCAACAGCCTTAGCAAGCAATGTTTTGCCAGTACCTACAAAATAAAAAACAAATAAAAAATAAAAGTTGAAGAAATTCACTTTCTAGAGGAATACAATTCAAATTTTTGAATAGTTCCCCTCATCTTCCTATTAGTCAGATTAAGTAGGAAAAGTCCATCCAGGATCGCCTAGGGGTTGGACTGGATGACCTCCAGAGGCCCCTTTCAACTCCTACAATTGTGTGACTCTGTGACTTCATCTCAAGGCAAAGTTGATTCATGTGGCTTAAGCTGAGCAGCAGAGATCTAATACTAATTATTATTTCTCCTGAAATATTGTATTTTGTAAGATTCCAATGTAGAAGCTGTTGGGACTGTGAGAAAGGCAAATGGACAGGTTAGAGAGTGAGAGAGAGATGTAACCAACATTAACTGTCTCTCTCATTTCAAATTACAGAACATTTTCTTAGCAATACATTAATACGCAAGATCTCGTTAATCAGTGATTCATTTGTAGTACAAAAATAGAACGGACAAAAAACTGCAAGGGTTGTAAAGATCCCCATACCTGGTGGTCCATACAGCAATAAGCCTTTCCATGGAGACAGAATGCCTGTAAATAGCTGAGGGTACTGTGGGAACCAAAAAGGAATTCATGGATTGTTACTGTATTATCTATAACAAAACACAAGGGGTTGTAAACAAACCCTACCCCTGCTGCTCCTACTGCACTCAGGGAATCTAAGAACAGAGAAGAAACAAAACAATGCAATATACTCAATCTGAGTATTGAGAAAAATACTGCACTGACCATCTGAAATTGTTTTAAGTGTATCACTCAAATGCTTCAATTCTTCAATGATATTCTCTTCTATACATTATCTCAGACTGAATTAGCATAGGCCAAACCCTGAGCCTTTTACACTGCCAGAAGTGTCTATGGATAGGACCCCAACCTTCAGTTTTTATACTAAAAGATGTTTTCCTATACAAGAATGCCCCTTCTATGAAGCGGGAACAGTTCTAGCAGGAAATGCCTACAAAAGCATCAAAATTGGTGGAAAATGTGACCCCCACTCTAATCACAAGACAAATGTTAATGAGACCAACAATTGTTTTCATCTATTTAGTGCCTTACCCTTATAGGATAAACAACTGCTTCCTTGACGAGCCTCTTAGCTGCATCCAGGCCAATGATATCATCCCATTTCACGTTTGGGTTATGGAGATAAATGTCCTGCAACACATGTCACATCCTGTGAGCAAAACTTCGCCTCCGGCAAAGTGAAAAATCAACTCCGTTATAAAGTCATACTGTTACATAATTAACATTTAGTCTTACGTAATAGTACAAACTATCCAAGTCTTCTACGAATCTTTCCTTTCCATTAGTAGTACTTTGTGTCTTTGCCTTCCAGAGACTAATTGTTCTGCACAAGATATCCTCAGTATAAGTACTTGGGATACATTCAGCTCTCTAATAAAAACAGGCAGGCTCCAGAGACTGAAGAAAAATTACGTGCTTGTGTCCAAGGGGAAAATTTGATTTAATACAATTAGAAAAATTATTTATATAGAGTAGATTACACTTTCCCTTTCTATTAACAGCAAATTAAGATGAATCAGATTTATGACACCAAGTAGAGGCTTCCATAACTGTTTCCAAATTAAATTAGATTGTGCTGTGAAATAGATACTACATGCTATTTATTTTTATTGATTTACACAGTGATGATTACCATAGCAACTAGGCAATTTAAAAAACATATCCCTTAAAAAGCATATCATAAAGCAACAAACAGCATTTCCAGCTAACAAAGATAGCCAAGATCTCTGTACAAATGAAATAAGAATCCGACCTTACTTTGCTTACAACAGTTGCAAGTTCTCTCATCTCACCATTCGTGCCAATAAAAGCACTAAGGGGTTTCAGTAAGCGTTCCTAAAATTAAAAAAAATAAATTCTTACCAGACTTCAGTTATTTTTAAATAGATAAACTGTAAAATAGTTTCAGAAATAAAGCGGTGCATCATAGCAATAGCAACTTTGAAAGATGCAGAATATGGGTAAGAATAATGCTTTTGAAACAAGCCATATTGGTAGTAACTCATCTTTTCAACTGACAGAACCTAACCCCAAGTTAACATGAAAATGAACGGGTCTTATTGCAGATGTAATCCTGAACATGCCATACATAAATTAAGTGAAAAATGTAGGCACGTCATCACATTGCCACAGACTCTGTTTTGAAACTTTCAAGTGTAGCAACTGCCCAGCCACTGAAGTACTGTGGGTTCTGAATCACAAGGCACAATTTGTATCTGCTGCCTACTTTTGTGTTCAAAGAGCCAACAAAACTGTCAAGAAGTCAGGCAGCATCAGGTATGACTGAAGGAAGAAATACACCACTCCAAAACTCAAGACCTTCTGTAGCACTTTGGAAGCGTCACGGTGGTATTTTGTTTTGTTCCTGGTTATATAAGCCTTATTTTAACGTACGCTGAGAGGAAATACAAAAAGGAACACTTACCGATGGGTCTGGATCCCAAGTAAGGCTGTTTAAACCTACTCCATTTGGGGATACTTTGACATCCTGGACCATCCCATGCAAGTCAACTACTTGGCCCTAAAGAAGAAGATAATGTGATAGGAATGGTAGCTCCACTATTAAAAACACACTGGGTCAAAATTGTGCTTAACACTATAGCAATTAGATTCTTTGCTGCAGATTTCAAATACGGGAAACAGCTGACTGAGGAATCTGCATACACTGCTATCATAAAGCAGGTTAGGATTCCACCAACCCTTCTTGGGGGAGGGCCTTCTCCTCCTCCTCCAGTTCTGTTGATTGCTGAGATGCTTAAGCCAAAGTCAGGTTGCTCCAGAGTTACTGTGCTCTCATTATTCTGAAAAAAACAACCATTTTAAGACAATACATTGTTGTTCAAGAGCTACATTTTTGCAAGGGTGATTAATGGTGAGTGCTTAAATTAACGGAAAGACCACTGATTTCACATAAGTTGAGTTACATGACTTCTCTTCCTCTGATTTTGATTTGTGACCTGCCCCCCCAGCTGACAGCTAAAAAGCAATTTCTCTTCTGTAGTCAATGATGTTCATTGATGTGGGACTTGATGATGTTAGTCTTTACCAACCTTAATGATTCTGTGATTCTATACTGCTTAAATTGCAGAATTAGGAAAATCCCGAAGTCACAAAAATTGTATGGTCATCTCACTGACTCTAGCTACTCCAGATAAAATCCCACCGATCTCAACCGCAATGCTGCCAAGATTAAACACATTTCAACCTGTTTTGGGCTCTCCTTGGTGGGTGATTTTAGTTCTGTACTCCCCAATGAGGTTTTTGATGATGGTTGTTGCATCGGCTGCTGCTTGATCCTTGGGAGATTCTGAGAGCTCGCTGCCCTACAATACAACAAATTAAGGCTTCAAAGGCATTCACAACCTCTTTCTTACTTCAGAACAACATTATTATAACTGTGCTGTATGTTGTTCTTAGAGGAAAATGTCCTGCTTGGAAAAAGCCCCATGCATTCTCCTTACCTTCTTTGCCTTCTTCCAGTTCCCAGCTGCTGTTTATTTTCTGCTGTGGCAAAATCAATATTGAAAGGGAATTAAGACACAGAATTTTAAAAAATAACAACTTGCTTTCTTTCCCTCTCAGAAATATTTTGGAGCATATTTTAATGATCTTGGAAATAGTGATGCAAAAACAAGAATGTCCCTGTGGGTCCTCCCAACCCAAGATACTCCATTTCCTTTGGATCTCAGTGTTGCTCTCAGACATATGAAATGTTGAAAGCTGCTCAGAGATACTCCCACACCCTCACCCCTATCCTGCTGATTTTTTATTTTTTTTCTTACAAGAAGTGTAGGAAGAGATGTTGGAGTTTTCTGCACCCTCCAAGCTGTTCAGAACTGACTTCTTAGGACTTCCATACGTCACATTTTGCGCTCAAGCACAGAACCACTCAGGCTCTCAGAGTTGTAACAGAATGCTTATGTTCTGGTTTGCCTTATTCTGCATCGTTCATTTATATCTCACATCTTTAAGCCCTTAAGCCCTCGGGAGAAAATAAGCCAACTACTTGTTTGGCACATTACCTTTAGTGCATGTCCTACAAGTATAGTAAGAGCATTCACGCAGTGAGCACAGAGGTACAGAAGTGCCAAGAGGGTATCATTTTAGGTTTTGATGGAAAAAAAGGGCTTTCTTTTGGAATACATACCGGTGTCCAGGACCTTCCTTGTGATTTTAGGATACTTTTGAAATTTTACAAAGTAATAGCTTTCATATTCCATCAAAATTGTCTCAAGGTCAACGTTGTCACAAACTTCAAAGCCACGTAAACCTAATTTTGTCTCTCGTTCCAAAGTGTTTGCAGCATCCATGTACCTGGTAATTACAAGAAAGCAATGAGCAAAAAGCTGTGACTTGTACAGAACAGAAAGTTGTGAGTTACTACAGAACACAATATTGTGAATTATTACCTCATTGTGGTTTCTGAGAGAAAAGGGAAACAATGGCATTAGTAAGTAAATGGTATTTTTAACCTCTACCTGTCATCAAATCCACAAACTGTATTTAAAAATCCTTTCAGCAAGGGATTGCTAAATGTGCTTGGAAATGACACAGGATGCTGTTGCTGCAGAAACTGAAACAAATAAGCAGAATCATCAAGATATTTAATAGCAGATCAGCTCTTGCTTGGCCGTGCTGTCCATTCACCCATCAGAAGACAGAGTGGGAGGTCAGACGTTGACACAGATGTGGGGCACTGTTGCTTAGATAACATACCCTTCCTCCATTAAGTAATGCAAGATGAGAATTAGGAGATTCTTCCGCCGGCCTTCTGCTCTCAGCTCATCCTGTGAATGAAGACAGGACTTGAGATCAGATGTAATGTTCACTTTATTGCTGTAAACAGCATCTCAGTGCAGCCTATGGAAAAAGATCAAGGCAACAGCATGCAAGAACTGCAAAACAATGCACTGCTAATAAGCAGAACTCATGTGGCTTTCATGTTATTTTTCTTACACGTTATCAGAGCTACTGGATGGGTGGAAAACTGCTCCTAGAAGAAAGCAAAAAACTCAGGTTGACAAATAACTTATGGCCTTGCTGTGACTGTGGATCTCCACCAGCTTCACATTGCTGGGCATTGTGGGGCAGGGTTCTTATAGAATAACATACAGCATCCTGCAAAGGTACACGTTTGAGATAGCACAACCAGCAAAAGGCACTGGGTAGAGCAAGCAAACAGTGGCTGAGCAGAACAGGTACTTCCGTGATTTTCCTGCGGGCGTGGGGCCATCTGGTGGAAAAATGAGGAAGGGCCGGGAGTTGGTTTGAACATTTCTTATCAGTTGGAAATGTATTTTACGTATTACTAAACAGATCAGTAACATTTTCCTTCTGGCTTTGGAGACAAAAGAATCAAAGGGCTGGTGTTGTATTCCAGTGAGGTGCTGCAAAAAGAAAGGAACCAGTTCATGCTCATGAGCAATGATTCCTCATCAGCATCCTGCTGTAGAGGGATCTTTCACTTTCACTTTTCCAAACTGCTGATATTCAGTAAACATTCTGAATTGTGGATGTTTTCCTACTTCTGCAGGACTTCAGCTGCGTGTAGAGAGGAAATGGTAAATCTTCTGCTGCGTGAAAAAACAGGACAACTTCTGAGTGCAAAGTTACTTAAAATTCAGCTTAGCTTTATAGTGTTTAATTAGTAGTTGGAATTGCACGTTGTTTAGAGCCACTGGTATTTCAGAGGATGTTTGAGTGCTTAAAGTTTAATAAGCTTCTATTCTTAAAAGAACAAAAAATGGATGTAATTACATTTTCAATTACCACAGGGGATTTAGGGGTCCATGCAATTAATAAAAGCTTAAGGCACTTAAGTGTGATCTTCTGTTAAAAACTACACAGTTGAGCACTTAACCAATTATCTCCAACAGTTAGAGAACATTTTATTTATTTCTTACTTAACAAAAGCATGCAACATATTCCTCTCTTAGCAGGCATTTGAAAGTAAATTCTAGCAGAACCACGTATTTTTTAATTGAATTCATTTTGTTACTTCCATCCCTTTCACTAAAATGCATTTACTTCAAGAATCAACTTAGTTTTGTGCAATTCCTTCAAACCGATTGGGCTACTAAAAGACTAATTTTATTATATAGTATTTCATTAGTATTTGGTCCCAATTTTGGTGTGAATATGATTGTGTGAAGGACACAAATAACACAAATTAAAGATGCTGAGTTTACAAATTAATTAGAAAGAATTAACTCCTTCTAATTTGTACAAATTCAGTTATACAACAGTGAACACCCACTCCTGCAGCTGGACTATGTTCATTATAGTTTATTCTTTGAAATAATTTTCACAAATCCCCACTGGGGAGATTTCAAAACAGATCCCTTCTGTGCTGCCTAAGCCCTCTAGTTGGGAGAGGGTCCTGAGGAGCCACAGAGATGATCAGGGCACTGGAGCACCTCCCCTACGAGGACAGGATGAGGGAGCTGGGCTTGTTCAGCATGGAGAAAAGAAGGCTGCGGGGTGACCTCATGGCAGCCTTTCAGTATCTAAAGGGAGCCTGCAAACAGGAGGGGAATCAACAATTTGAAAGGATAGATAACGGCAGGACAAGGGGAAATGGCTTGAAGTTGAGGGAGGGAAGATTGAGGTTGGATGTCAGGGGAAGTTCTTTACAGAGAGAGTGGTGAGTTGCTGGAACAGCTGCCCAGTGAGGCTGTGATGCCTCATCCGTCCCTGGAGGTGTTCAAGGCCAGGTTGGATGGGGCCCTGGGCAGCCTGGGCTGCTATGAAATGTGGAGGTTGGTGGCCCTGCGTGTGGCAGGGGGATGGAACTTCATGATCCTTGAGGTCCCTTCCAACCAGGGCCATTCTGTGATTCTGTGATTCTGTGTATCTGGGCCCAGGAAGGGACTGTCATGGAGCCCCCCCCCACTCCTGGGTAAATACACCATCCACACGGGATGCTCCGAAAGTAGTGCCTCCCACTTTGTTATGTTGGCCCATGATGTCAGATGTGGTTGTTGTTGGTATGGCAGCAGAATTTGAATCTTCCCACCATTCTGGTAACTTTCTATGATGGAGTGGAGGCACTGGTGGACAAACTAAGGGCAGGCTATGTCACCTGTGTGGACTTGTCCAAGGCCTTTGACATGGTCCCACACCACACTCCTATCTCTAAATTGGAGAGATGAGAGTTTGAAGGACAGGCTATCTGCTGGATAAGGAATTGGTTGGATGACCGCAGCCAAGGGGTTGTTGTCAATAGCTCTATGTCGAAGTGGCACCTGGTTGGTACATCTCAGCGGCCCGTGTGGGACCAGTACTCTTTTATCAGTGACACAAATGATGGAATTGAATGCACCCTGAGTAGTTTGCTACTTGTCCAAGTGCAGCAACAGCTCCCACGTCACAACACAGCCTGCACCCCCCTCCCCCCTAGGAAGCCATCAAGTCACCTCTCAGCGCCTGCGCTCTGCGCCCCGCCCGCCGAGCATGCGCAGAACCCAGTGCTGTTCCCATAGCAACCGGACGCGCGGCCTGGCGTTCTTACCGCCTCCCTCGCCTGGCGCGCGGCTCGCAGCGCCTGGCAGGAGAGCTCCATCGGACGGGCAGCTGAAAGGCGCGGTGAACGGGGAACGACAGAGGCGCCACAAACCGCCGAGGCCCGCGGCTCCGCTCGTCCTTCTCGCAGCCAATCGAAGCGTCCGAAGGCAAATGAATGATTGCAGAGCTGCCCAATCAGAGGTGGAAAAAGTGATGGCGGTTTAAGCGATGAGCCAATCACTGTGGGGAGAAAGGGCTGGGCTGGAAGTGGGGCTGACCAATCGCTGCCGGGCTTACAGGAGCAGTGGGCGATGACGGGTGAGGCAAAGCTGGCTGAAATCAAACCGGGTGAAATCGCACAAAACCAAAACCAACCCAAACACCTGAGAGGTGTTGCCATCTCAGCAAGGCAGGCTCCCGTGGCGGAGGCAGTGGGTGTTAGAATGGAGGCGAAGAGCTCAGGAGCCCGTGAGGGCCCAAAGAACAGTGCTTAAAAAATGGAGTAGCAGTGGAATGAGTCAAGCTTTGTGTTCAGAGAGCTGAGCGCACTGGAAACCTCCAAAGAAAATACTTCCGTTCACTGTCACATGGGGTGCATCCAGCTTTGGAGGACTCTGATGCGTGACGTAGGAACCGAGCTAGAGCTGCTCCAAAGAAAACTGCCCATGATACAGAGGTTACCTC